AATGACACCTTAATGCATCAACTTTCAACATTTAAATTCATCTTGGTTTATTTCGGTATGATTTTTCGTTTTCGAGATATAATAATGTAGATCTTTCCCCATGTAATACATGAAGGAGATATTTTATTCCGTCTTAATTCTATATGTGTGGAAGTTCATATGTATACGAAAAAGGACACAGCTGAAAACTTCATTGATTCAGCAAATCTACAGTCGTAGTATACAGACAGTCAATTGTCTATGTTGAAGTAGCAAATTTGACAGCTGAATAACATTAGCGATTTGTTAAACCATCAAACCTTTTTGATATTGAATTCAGACAGATATTGAATTCGCGGAGTAAATTACAGGTTTACTATACCAATCAATTTATTTTTTTCCGTGTACTTACTGATTTATTGTACTATACTTATATGTAATCGAATCATATTATAATAAATCAAAGAGCAACGTGAAATTAAAAAAATAATTTATTGGAATTTTTTCAAATTATTACCTCTTGAAAAAAATGTACCCAATTGAAACAGAATAAGTTTTAATGTTGAAAACTGTCAAAATAGTCATTTTTGTATATTAATGTAAATATAACAATACATAAAAAAAGATTCAATTACAAAAAAATAAATACATTGAAATAACTTCGTTCGTATTGATTAGTAAATATCATGACTTAGGTAACTATTAATTTAGTTATTACGCGAGTTGAAATTTTATTCTTACTTTGAATCTCTTTCAACCTCAATTACACTTTATAAATCTGTTTTGATACTTGTGCAATCAAATAGGATCTCTTTTAATATTGCTTAATCTACAGCTTCTATTTAGAAAACTTCTTATGAACCTAAAAGTAGGAAATCTTGCAATAACTACCATTTATAGGTTCAACGTTGGAGCTCAATTCATTAGATTAGAACATATTATAAATCTCTAGAGTATACATACCTTATCTTAGGGTCTACATATGTCATAAAACTAAGGTTCATATTAGGAGCAAAATTTCGACACGGGATATTTGCCAAAGAAATGTAATTATAGTTACTTTTCTTTATTATTGTTGTTATTATTGTCGTCGACCAGGAAAAATGTACGTCTCGTTTTTTCGATAATAGATGGCTTTTGAGTTAACCAAGCGATGGCAGCAAGCTATATATTAAGCTATATATAAAACTTGATCTGTTCAGCCGTTATTAAAATACGATAATCTCAATTTGCCGCAATTGGCCGGCTCGCGTAAAGGAGGCACGGCAGTGTCGCTGCGCTTGGCTTAGTGCCGAGGCACTACCGTGTCTCCAGATATCAAAATGATGTCAAAATGATCATTAAAAGTCATTTTTCAATCATTTCCGATTCAATTTAATGTCATTTTGACGTGACTTTATATTGTGTATGTGCACGCAAACTTTTTAAATTGATTTAACTATTGAAATTGACATATTTTCTTTTAGTTACAGAATAAAAGAGGATTTGTATTAATAATATTAATGAAGAGGCACAAAACGCTTGAAAAAATATATATTTTATATTACGTAAATTAAATTATTTTTCAATATTAAATTACTCTGATGTTGTGTTATATGAATGTTAAACTAATTACAATGTATTAATATTTATTATATTCTTCGTTTATATATAACTAAAGTCATGAACAATGAAAAATATTGTGATATATCATTATATATTGCATATATTATTATAACAAATACATTACGATAAAATAATTGTAATGTATATTTGCATTATTAATATAATTGTATAATAAAATTACAAATCATGAAGAATTTTTAATTATTTGTGATTTTCTGTGTGAAATTTTAAATTATTATAATATAAAAATTAAATATAAAATATAAATCATAACATTTTAATAAACAAAAATTGTTTTAAATTATAAACTTGATTGTATATATGTTATATATATGCTTTGCTCATTTTTATTTTTAAGTATTGTTATTCATTTTATAATATTTCTATTAATTGTTATATATATAATATATTATTATTGTATAATAGTTCATAACATATTATATATATATATATACACATATATAATTATACTAAATTAAAATATATATCGTGTTCCTATAAAAATAGCTGTAAGGGAGACATCTGTGAATCGCTTTCTGAACTCCATAGTAGTTCTGTTGAAGCATCTTGAACTCTGAAGCATTCACTTGCATCTTTACATGCACTGTGTGTCATGCGTTTCATCGTAATCACGTTTTAACAATTTCTCCACCGATATTTAATTTTACGTTAATCCGCCGATTGATGCAGTCACCCACAGCGTCGATGCGCCCTTTGTTACGTGCCTTCGTAAGTGTCTCACAAAATGTCGTCAGTATTTTGCGAGAGAAAATCTTGAATCACGCACTAACGCATTGCGTCAGACCGCCACCATGTGTTCCTAAACTTGTCACATCACAAATACGACAAGAGGTCTGTTCGTTATCGCGGCACTGAATTAAACTGAATTGCATTAAAACTTTCTATCTCGTTTTCGACAAATATACAGCTTTGTTTATTTATTGCTGCATTGAATTGTACTAAAATCGTACCATTTTCTTCGCTTTCACTATAAATATCAAATATATACCTATTTCATTTTAAATTTAAAAATGTTTAAGTTCATCAGCTATGAAGAATAAACCTATAAGATATAAGATATTTGCATTGTTCACAATTTCCAAAAATTTGTATTATTTAAAACGAAATAAATGTATATTTGGGCGAAAGAAAGAAAGCAAAGATTTTGAGTACAACATGAACAGACCTGTTACAGTCAACGGCGGGAAATTTGAAATGAAAGACCAACTCTTGTATTATAACATATATTAATGTAACATCTAATTTATATTAATATATGTTGATTTAAATGTAATATACTAATTCTATATACTCTCTTTGTTTGGAATGGAATCTCACTTCTAAAAGTGAAAATTGAGCCAGTGTTGAAAAAGAGTGGCTCAATTTTCAATCTGTAAGAGTAAATTTTCATTCTTCAGAGTAAGATTTACTCTAAAAAAGTTTTAGGGCTTATAAAAGTAATATATGATTCTAATATATACCTCTACTTATGAAAATATTTTAATTATTTTTATTTAAAGTCCATAGCATCCAAACAGCGTGTTGACATGGTCGATCCTGTTCTGAAGGCCGAGGTGGTGCTCTCAGAGAGCAATCGCAAGGCTTGCATCGAGAAATTCAAATCAGTCCTGGTGCCGAAGATGCGTAACGTACCAGAAGCGGCCGTTTTAGTCCCGTTATGTTTATATAAAGGAGAACTCGGATTCTTATATACTCTGCGATCCATGAAGCTCACATCCAATCGGGGACAAGTCAGTTGTTTGTATAATATCCGTATAAATATTTTAAAAGTTACAAATTTGTATAAATAAATTGCCAATAAGTATCAAATAATGGGTGCATTTTCAGTACTACACTGAGCGCTCAGTGAGCTCTTGAATCTGTTTGATCTATATTTTTAGTTCTAACGGAATATGCCAATCAGATGCAAGAGCTCATTGAGCGCTCAGTGAGCGGTTGTAGTACTGAATACACCCAATAATAAAATATAACATCAATGTTATAAGATCTGTTTTTTATTACTGCACTCTCTGAATTGGTGCACAAAGTGCAATAAGTTAAAGTGAAATAAACGTATATTTGTTTCACTTCAACTTATTGCATTGTGTGCACCAGTTTAGAGAATGCAGCAATAAAAAACAGACCTATAATTTCATACTCAGCAATATAAATATAATGTAACATATTATACATAAGTATGAAATTATAACATTGATGTTACATTCCCTACTGAAAAAAATCACGTCACAAAGTTACATAAAGAAATCATGTAATTAAAATAAGTAAATCACATGACGGATTGTTCCAAATCAGTACGTAAATTTTTTAAATCACGTAATTTGAAAAAATCTCGTGATATTAGAAATAATTTCATCTATCATATGACTTTATTGTTATCGAATTTTAAATAATTAAATGATAGAAACAAAAGAAAAAACCAAATCATCGTGTAATTTTTCAAATTATGCGATTTTAAAAGATCACGTACTGATTTGAAACAATTTGTTACCTGATTTACATATTTTAATTACATGATTTCGTTATATAACTTTGTGACGTGATTTTTTTCAGTAGGGTTACTTTTAGTTGGTGTATTTACTAAGTGTGTGTTCTAAATTTATAAACTTTTACTTTTTAGATTTTATTGTTTGTATTATTAACCACTCAGCAAGTCTTGAATGAAGCCCATGTTTCATATTATTATTTCATATATAATTTATGTTCATTAGAGTCTTATACTATATATAATTGTTAAAATACAATTTGCACAATCGAGTATTCAAATTTAATTTTAAAATAACAGGAAACTTAAATTTCTCAAGGTTCTATCTGTTGTAGGTGTCCTTTCCAGGTGGCATGCGTGACAAGAGCGACGTCGATCTGCAAGAAACTGCTTTGCGAGAGACTTGGGAGGAGCTGAAGATTCCCAGGGAGAAGATCGACGTGTGGACTACAGGGAATCTCATCGGCAAGTCTGATGTTAATGTGATGCCAGTTCTGGCTTATATCGGCGAGGTGGTGCCGGAGGAACTGGAGATCAATCCTGACGAGGTGGAAGAAGCCTTCGTGGTCAGCCTGCAAAAATTGTGCGATCCTGAGCTAATTTGTTTCACGAGTTTCCGTCCAACACTTGTGACCCTGCCATGTTATTTGGGTGGAAAATACCGTGTCTGGGGTTTTACCGGCGCTATCACTCACATAGCACTCGAATGCTTGGTGCCGCAAGTTTACAAATACAAGTTCTTGTCAATACAACCGATGCAGAAGAATGAATCTAAAGAGAAAGAATCAGTTTCTTCCGATTATGATGCGACGCGTTCGAAAATATGAAGAGTAAAGTAGAATAAAATGCTAGAATAAGATCTCGGATGGAAAAAAGATGTTAACGAAAAAGTACAGAAAAACTACATAGATTGAGACAAGAAATTCTTAATTTTTCCTAAATATTTGTAGTAGGATGTAGAGTGAGGTTTGTTTGTCTTAAAAATTTTTAGTTTTTTGTAGATATTCGTAGTGGGGTATACAGTGTCGTTGTTTGAGGGCGAAAGATTTTTTTATTTTTCAAACAATACCATTTTACGTTCCACTACGAATATCTATGAAAAACAGAAGAATTTTTAAGATTTTGTCTCAATCTATGTAATTTTTCATAAAATTTTTCCGCCAAGGATATATTAAGAACTGCGAAATTTTAATAAATTCAAATTTCGATACTGATAGATTTCTATACATAATGATTAGGTAATAATTACGATAAAAGTTATCGGCGATGTGATGGAAATGGTATTTTTTTACTAAATTGAAAATTGAATCCATTAAAATTACGTAGATCTTAAGTCCCGTGTATAAATTGTCAAATGGTCAATCTATCAAAACTTCGTTTGGAATTGAGGAATTAGAATTCGTTCCATTCTAATTCCGTAAGTTTTGAGCAGAATAGAATTTAGACATTTTCTATATGTTCGTTATAAAATTTGTTGCAGATTTTCATACATATCTGTGATTTTAACGATTATGGTTATCTAGGAAAAAGATAAAATATTAATATATTTTTATTTTTAACGATTGATTAAAAATATATTGATAAGAAAAAATATATTTTTTCTCTTCATGCATTTTATATGATATTTGAATTTTATTATTTCAATATTAAAATTCAAATATATACATGTATATATAAATGTATAAATAAATATATGTGTTATTGCAATAATATAAATGTATAAATAAATGTATATTATTGCAATAATATAACTTTGTGAAAGATTAAAATAATAAAATAGCCGCACGCGGCATGTTTTTTTTATTTTAATCTTTCACAAAAAGTTATTCTTCATTTAATAAACATTTAATATATCATCAAAAGGAACAATCGCTTTCAAAATTAATGCAAATTTTTTAGTCCAACACGCGACATCCAATAGGAGAACTTGTTTCCTAGGGAAACAAAAATCTCCTTAATTAAAGTCTCTAGAAGACATAAGGTCTGTTCTTTTAGGCTAAACTTTTGCACCAGTTCATCTTTCTTGCTCTTCTTTCCTACTAGAGAGAAAAGGAAGAGGATGTACTGATGCAAAAGTTCAGCCAAAAAGAACAGACCTATAATTTCCTATAGGAAATGTCATATTACCTCCATGGGTGCGTTCCAAAACTCGACTCCGAATAACTTTTATCTTTGTTCAACATTCGGTGAAGAACAAGTATAAAAGATACTCTGAGTTGATAGAGTCGAGTTTTGGAACGCACCCCATAATGATTGGCTGGATCCAACGATAATAACCAATCACGTCCGTTTACGCTTTAATTGCACAACTGCAGTCTCGGCAGCCAATAGCGAGAGACAGACGCGCGAAATAATAGAGCAATGGCCGCCAAGAGGGTCTGGTTTGTTCTCTCCGGCTCTCTCGTAACGGCTGTAGCGGTGAGTAGAACCGATCTTTCAAGCACGGACGAGAAAATCCGGAGGCATCGTCGAGCGTCATCACGTTGAAGGCTCGATCGAGGTAAAATAATATTCCTGGCGATCATCCGCTCACGTAGCTGCTCTTATTTTTCCATTAACGATACATTTCGGGTTAATTTTGGAATAAAAGCGTCTGCCCGCGTCGTACCGAATTATTAAATAGAAGGGCTCATGTCGTTTCAGAGTATGGACTCTCGGAGATTTTTATCGAGAGCATAAAGCCCTCCATTCATTCATTAATTATTCGAAAGATCAATCAAGGAATAGAAAAACGCAACAATCTAACAGGCCAAGATGTATCTGTACAATCTGACCCTCCAACGTGCCACGGGCATCACGCACGCGGTGCACGGTAATTTCTCCGGCAGCAAAATGCAGGAGATCCTCGTCTCCCGCGGGAAATCTTTAGAGTTGCTGCGACCGGATCCGAATACGGGGAAGGTCCACACTCTGTTGACCGTCGAGGTTTTCGGCATCATCCGATCTCTCATGGCGTTCAGACTTACCGGTGGGACAAAGGATTACATTGTCGTTGGATCGGATTCCGGGCGTATAGTCATATTAGAGTATATTTCCGCCAAGAACACCTTTGAGAAGGTACATCAGGAGACTTTCGGCAAAAGTGGATGTAGACGCATCGTTCCTGGCCAATATCTTGCTATTGATCCAAAAGGAAGAGCAGTTATGATAGGTACAGTATATGTTCTTTAATTTTCCGGTCCTTCATTATATAGAATGGGTCATTTATATCCTGAATTAATTTTTATCGTTTTAACAAATATATAAGAATTGTTAAGTGATTATTATATATATTTTTTAGAACAGGCCTGTTTAATTTTAGGTCTTGAGTCAAAATGTAAAGCCATCGATGCAAAAAAAAATCAATATGGGTAAGATTTCGGATATTGTAAAGTGTTGATACATGTTTAAGCTTATTGACACTTTGCAGTCTTCGAAATGTTCACAAATCACGTTGAATTTTTTCTTGCGTCAGTGGCTTTGTATTTTGGCTCTAGAGTTAAAACATTTACAAAATATGACAATTACATTTCAAATTTAATATTATAAAATTTTTTTAAAGGATTCAAACCATTCAAACTCATTTTCTGGAAAACTTTGTTTTTTTTTTGTTGTGACATAACAAATGAACAATAAGATTGTTAAGTACTATATGATTACTTTCGTGTTTCAACTGATTAACATTGATTACAACTTCTATTACTAATGATGGTACTTTATAGATAAGAATTATAACTGTCTTGATGCAAATCTGGGTTGTTACATTATGTTGTTTTTGTTTTAGGTGCTATCGAAAAGCAGAAACTTGTGTACATTCTTAACAGAGACGCCGAGGCTCGTCTTACAATCTCTTCTCCGTTGGAAGCTCATAAGAGTAACACACTAGTGTATCATACAGTTGGTGTCGACGTTGGTTTCGAGAATCCTATGTTTGCGTGTTTAGAGATTGATTACGAGGTAAACTTACGTTAATTTTTCTTATCACATAACAGATATTATCGACATTAAGTATCATATGATTATCGTACCGTGTTTCAACTGATTAACATTGATTACATCTGTCTATTTGTATGATGATACTCGATCAGATTTGCAATCTTATCTGTATATAAAGTGTATATATTTAATACATTTCGTAAAAATGTTTATCCAGGAAGCCGACAGCGACCCTACGGGCGACGCAGCAGTGAAAACGCAGCAGACACTTACGCTGTATGAGCTTGATCTTGGTCTGAACCACGTAGTGCGAAAGTACAGCGAGCCATTGGAGGAGCACGCTAACTTCCTCGTGTCTGTACCTGGCGGTAATGACGGCCCAAGTGGTGTGCTCATTTGCTCCGAGAATTATCTTACGTACAAGAACCTTGGGGATCAGCATGACATACGTTGTCCGATCCCGCGACGCCGTAATGATTTAGATGATCCTGAGAGAGGAATGATATTCGTGTGTTCGGCCACACATAAAACGAAGAGCATGTTCTTCTTTTTGGCACAGACGGAGCAGGGTGATATCTTCAAGATCACCCTCGAGACGGACGAGGACATGGTCACCGAGATCAAGCTGAAGTACTTCGATACTGTACCTGTGGCAGCGAGTATGTGCGTCCTGAAAACGGGATTCCTATTCGTCGCCTCGGAATTCGGCAACCAGTTAGTACCGTAGATTGTACTAATATCCTCGCGTGTGCGTTTAAATTACTGTGAGCGGCGCAATTACATTGTTCTTTTTTAGTTACCTGTATCAAATAGCGCATCTCGGAGACGACGACGACGAGCCCGAATTCAGTTCAGCGATGCCGTTAGAAGAAGGAGACACTTTCTTCTTTGCCCCGCGACCGCTCCGAAATCTAGTACTGGTCGATGAAATGGACAGTCTCTCGCCCATAATGGCTTGCCAGGTGAAATATTTTATAAAGTACGACAGGGTGTTTATTCCTTGAGAAACCTAAAATTTTCAGAGAACTTTTGTTTTAATCTTGAGAAAAGTTTTGAAAATCAAAGATTTTTGTGGAATTTTGTTTAATTTAAATTCTGTCTTTGATAATTGTATCTTTGATCTTCTTTTCTTGATAATAAAAAATGTTGACAATCAGTTAATAAATATATATCTGCTCACATTTATATACATTTTCATGTTTTTCACAAGTTTTAAAAAAATTAAGGTGATAACAACAGAGACTTACTGATATTATATTATATTGTGTGCCTTTATTATCTTACAAGCTTTGCGGCCTTAATTGTAAAAAGGAATAGATGTACTCTCGTTGAATCTCTTATCTTTATTAATTTACAGTATACATGCAGTTTGTGTTGTTTATACTTCATTTTATTTCAAAATTCCATTTAAAAAGTCTAATACCTGGAAAATCTGGGAATTCTCAAGGATTTTTTTGTACGATCTTAGTAAACGCCCTGTACAAGTTTTATTCGACTACGCACTTGAAGTAGGAGGGAGACGTTACTCGTGCGTCTTTTTCTTGTGGGATAATGTGCGATAGCAAAATTCTCTACGTCGCCTTTGGTTTGTTATTGCAAATTGAAGTGAACACATAGAGAGATAAGCATAATACGATATTTTTTTTGCTTCCTTATTGCATTTATGGAGAGGAGACGAGAAGCAGACGTTTATAAGAGCTTTTGATTGTGGCTGCAGGTAGCAGATCTGGCGAACGAAGACACGCCGCAATTGTACATCGCTTGCGGACGAGGACCGCGGTCCACATTGCGAGTGTTACGTCACGGTCTCGAAGTTTCCGAGATGGCCGTGAGCGAGCTGCCTGGTAATCCAAACGCTGTTTGGACCGTGAAGAGAAGAATCGATGGTTAGTCGAATGATATTTCTACAATTTGTCTGCATGTTTTCACTTGACTTGCCTACTCGATAATCCGATAAGTTTTAGCTGTCTTTTCGTTGAGATCTTACTTTCCACATTTCTCATCTATCTTCATCCTTTTCAAAAATTTTGTATACATGCGAAGCGACGAGATACAGAAAATGTTCTATGCAATCAGCATCAGAAGTATCGTAGACTTCTATGATTTTATTTCTTCCATTCTCTTTTACGAAAGTGGATCGTAAGTAGCTCAATAGCATAGTTCGAATAAATTTGCGGAAAGCTTTGCGGTAAGAACACTAGTACTTAATATAACTTGCAAAAGAAAATTAGTAGTTTTGCTTTAAAAAAGACGAACGGCATCGGTTTTTTAAAACGATATTAATGAACCTGGTGGCTTGATACACTCTTATCAAACACCAGTTCTCTCTTTCAGGATGCCAGCGCGCTATTGGTTGACCCACAGAACTCTGAATGACCGAAAGGTAAGGGATCTCGGCGCGAAATTGGCACGAGTAAGAGTCGATTTGTTCGGTAAAAATTTAATAAAAAGCAAAAGTCCGTCGACTCTTTCCGTGCCCCACGAGAGCATGCGCAGTTTCGTATAATCGAGGACACTTAAACATATATATATATATATGTCGTATATATATATATCTGAGCAAATTCAAATATTCGATTCAACGACGCATTCCCCTATGTATTGAGGATGAGCTTTGTAATTTTGATTGCAGAGGAATATGATGCATACATCATAGTCTCCTTCGTGAACGCCACACTCGTACTCAGTATCGGCGAGACTGTCGAGGAAGTGACGGACTCGGGTTTTCTCGGTACAACACCGACCTTGAGTTGCTCCGCCTTAGGCGAGGACGCATTGGTGCAGGTACAATGCACATGGAAATTATATCGTATCATAATCGATGGGCTCCATGCGTGAACCTTGTATCCCATATCGTGTTAAGTTTGAGAGTAATGTAAAATTAAAGTAAGTAAATTTTTATTCGGTTACTAAAGCATATTTTAAATTATAAATTGAATCAAATTAAATAATATTCCTTACAATTGGTGGATTAATTGTCTGACAAAAATAATCACGTTTTTTATCTGATAAAATAATTACAAAAAATTCGTATTTTTGGGACGGAATGGTATATGCATGGGATTGTAGAATTTTTCTCGATTGCACTCGGTATCTCCGACACCTGGTTGACCACGTGCCGGTCGCAAAAAAGTGCTAAAATATTCGGGCTCACGCATCGTTGGAACGTTCCGGATCTAGTCCAAACTTTCCTGGTACTACAGGCCCAACAACCATACTCTCTAAATCTCGTGGAGTAAAATCTCACTCGAAGAGACTGAAAATTTAGCCTGTTTTGAAAATATAGTCACTCTTGTTTAAGAGTAGCAGATTTTCATTCTTTTTAGAGTGAGATTTACTCTGACATGAGATTCACTCCAAAGGAGTGAAATCTCAATCCTTTTTTTGGCGTGAGGTTCTATCTATCCTGATATTACACTCCAAAAAAAGGGATTGAGATTTCATTCGTTTGGAGTGAATCTCATGTCAAAGACTTGAATAAGAGTGACCATATTTTCACTTTTTTCAAGACAGGCTAAATTTTCAGTCTCTTCGAGTGAGATTTCACTCTACGAGATTTAGAGAGTATTACAAAGATCTTTTAATTTTTGCAATACCAGAATCTATATTATATTTTATTATTATTGAATGCATGATATATTTAGTATATGATTTATCTGAATTATCTGAAATCTCAAATTTCTTTTAGGTCTATCCTGATGGTATACGTCACATCCGAGCGGATAAGCGTGTTAACGAATGGAAGGCACCTGGCAAGAAGACGATTGTAAAATGTGCAGTCAATCAACGTCAAGTTGTGATCGCCCTCACTGGAGGAGAACTAGTCTACTTCGAGATGGACCCTGTACGTACTTAATGCAATAATTCTTTCCTAACGATCGCATCATTTGTTCTCTCTGAGTTGTTTAATCCTTGTTCTCAGAGACGTAAAGATGCGAAGAGCATACCACTCATTTCATCTTCGAATCGATCTAGTTAAACCTTGATTAGGTTTGATGGAGAGTGAACAAGACATCGTGAAATTTCCCATCAACGATGGCTTTCTATTAATCCATGCATCCTTTTCAGACCGGACAATTGAACGAATATACGGAAAGAAAAAAGATGCCCTCGGAAGTAATGTGCATGGCCCTCGGAAACGTTGCAGTAGGCGAGCAACGCTCGTGGTTCCTTGCCGTCGGTCTGCAGGACAATACAGTGAGGATAATATCGTTGGATCCCTCAGACTGTCTAGCTCCAAGAAGTATGCAGGCGTTACCAGCAGCTGCGGAGAGTTTATGCATCGTGGAAATGGGCGCCAAAGAGGCCGATAATTCCGAGGATGCGGCGCCACAGCAATCCAGTTTGTACCTGAACATAGGTAAACTTTATCTGTAATATACAAATTTACATCTGCACTTTCTGCTCGTGGCAAGCTTACATTTCTAAACAAATAAATAATCGAATTGAATCGAATCGTCTTTAATACATGTTGTATTACTGTTGTTATTAATTACAGGTTTGCAAAACGGTGTGTTGCTTAGAACTGTATTAGATCCTATTTCCGGAGATCTCGCAGACACAAGAACACGCTACCTAGGCTCTCGACCTGTGAAGCTCTTCAGAATACGAATGCAGGGTAATCAAGCGGTGTTGGCGATGAGCAGCCGATCCTGGCTAAGTTATTACCACCAGAATCGTTTCCACCTAACGCCCTTATCATACGAAAGTCTTGAATTCGCGTCGGGCTTCAGTTCCGAGCAATGTCCAGAGGGTATCGTCGCCATATCGACGAACACATTGAGAATCTTGGCGCTCGAGAAACTAGGGGCCGTGTTCAATCAAGTGAGCTTCCCACTGGAGTACACACCGAGGAAGTTCGCGATTCATACGGATTCCGCGCATCTAGTAGTCATCGAAACGGAACACAATGCTTACACGGAGGAGACAAAACAACAGAGAAGACAACAGATGGCGGATGAAATGCAAGAGGCGGCTGGCGCCGAGGAGGCCGCGGTCGCCAGGGAATTGGCGGAAGCCTTCATGTCGGAGGAGCCAAACGAAGCGGTTTTCGGTGCTCCGCGAGCCGGCCCGGGACTGTGGGCCTCCATGCTGAGACTAATGGCACCGACCACCGGGGAAACATTCGAAGTGCATCGTTTCGAGCAAAATTTAGCCGCATTATGGTAAGGAAAAGATAATCTTTATCAAAAGAACAATTTTTTTTCAAAATTTTAATCAAAATTGTAGTTCAATGTTATAAATCTTTTTTTTCTCCACAGTCTTTGCCTCGTAAAATTTGCCAATCAAGGTGATCAGCTGTTCCTCATCGTTGGAGTCGCGAAGGAATTTCAATTGAATCCTAGAGTTAGCAATGGCGGTTTTCTTTACACATACAAGTAAGATATCTCACTCTACAATATTTTCTCTGATATATAATATAATAGGTCTGTTCTTTTTAGCTAAAGTTCTTGCACGGTTCATCTTTCTTCCTTTCCTTTCCACGTTTGAGAGAAAAAGAAAAGATTAACCATACAAGAAGTTTAGTTAAAAAGAACAGGCCTATTAATAGATACTATGATGACTAAAATCGCATGAAAATTCTGTAGTTTGATGATATCTTTACAGTTGATTTTTATAATACTTTTTAATGAACATTCTCTCGACAAAATAATAAAAAGTGATTGCTTTGTGTTTCAGAGTAAATCCGGACTGTACCAGTATCGAGCTGCTGCACAAATCTCCATTAGATGAAGTACCGTTAGCCATTTGTCCGTATCAAGGTCGAGTATTAGTCGGCGTGGGTAGAATGTTACGGCTTTACGACATGGGTAAAAAGAAATTGTTGCGTAAGTGCGAGAACAAGCATATACCCAACGCAGTCGTATCCATAAACGCAATCGGTCAACGGATCTACGTCAGCGACGTGCAGGAATCCGTATACGCAGTGAGGTACAAGCGTCAGGAGAATCAGTTAATCGTTTTCGCAGACGACACACATCCCAGATGGATCACGACGACGTGCGTATTAGATTACGACACCGTCGCCACCGCCGACAAATTCGGAAATATAGCTGTGGTAAGTTCACGTCTTATCCCACAGACCACAAACCAATAGTAACTTTACAATATTATAATTTCCCACTCTCTCAACAACATAAATATAATATAAATATCAGAATTGTCACAGAACTACAAATTAAGGAAAATTCAGAGAATTTTGTAAACTTTTCTGGAAAATTAAAATTCTTGTCTTTAATAGTTACATTGTTGAATAGAAAGTTATATTGTGTAATGTTACCGTTAGTTTGTATTTTGCAAGATATTGTCCTACCTTTCTAGCAATACGTTTGTATAACAATTATGACTTGTTAGATTCCCGTCTTCTATTTCCTTTCAGATACGATTGGCGACTGGCATTAATGACGACGTGGACGAAGATCCTACCGGAAATAAGGCTCTATGGGATAGAGGATTGTTAAATGGCGCCAGTCAAAAAGCGGACACAGTGGCATGTTTCCACGTCGGCGAGACAGTGATGTCGTTGCAGAAGGCGACTCTCATACCCGGTGGTTCCGAGAGTCTGGTCTACACGACCCTAAGTGGAACGGTAGGCGTGCTCGTGCCATTCACGAGCCACGAGGATCACGATTTCTTCCAGCATCTGGAAATGCACATGCGATCCGAGCACCCTCCTCTGTGCGGCAGGGATCATCTATCTTTCCGATCGTATTATTACCCTGTAAAAAATGTCATCGACGGTGATCTCTGCGAGCAATTCAACTCGATCGAGCCTACTAAACAAAAGAGTATCTCTGGCGATCTCGAGAGAACGCCGTCCGAGGTGTCGAAGAAGTTGGAGGACATACGTACGCGTTACGCTTTCTAAACTTTTCAAAAACTGTCTTTCGACGTGCTGTTTTTTCATAGAACTTATTTCTATTATATAGATCTTGGAAAATTATAGATTTTATTTATCGTTCTTTTTGCATAATATTTAATTAATGTAATGCATCTTCTTTCATTGATTCGATCATGCAAATTAAATTCTGTTGTAATCGCATTCAACACTATGTAAAAATTCAAGATTTTCTATATGAGTGATAGCTTTATTATATAGACATAAATATAATTTTTAGGATATATATGTTAATATCAAGATGTAATGTATATTCAATTTCTTTTAAGCAAACTGTCAGTAATGGAAAAAAGTAACAGTATTTTAATAGCTTTAGGGCGACTCATGTAAACTTTTTGTATTTCCGTAACAATTAGCACATCGCTATGAAAATTACGAGACATTAATTCGTAAGTGTGAAAGTCAGATTTGGCTTTCTGTTATGAATAGACTAATCATATTTGTGTACCACACGAGTGTAGATAAATGTAATAACGTCATTTCATCACTATGTAAACCATATAGGAAATAACATTACCATATTCAAATTGCATCAGCGAAGCAATCAAATTGCATCAATGAAGCAATTAATTTCCGCTTATTGTGGTCTTGCAAATTTGCACATTAAATCACTCTCCGAATCTAATCAATTCATCGCCTAATATTGATTTATATACACCCAGTATCTTTGAATATATTTATTAAAGGGGAATGCTTTGTCTTTCTTTTTTTCTCAAGAGACACGATACCTCGCGCGCAAAGTATATATATCTTTTTAATTTATAAGTACAGCTTTTCATAAACGAGATGTTACAGTGTGTCTTTTACAGGAAGAACGTCTCTAGAAATAAACCTTTTTAAATTAAATTCGACCTTTTCGAAAGATTTGAAAATAATAGACTTTTCTGATTACAATGAGATGAGTGTTTATAAATAATATATATTTTTAAGTTTCTAGATTATGTATATTTTTTTAAATTCATCTCCGAAATAGAATTACGAAGTCATCTTTTCAGTTGAAATTTTTTTAACTGTTCACACATTTCTCCCAATATAGTAGATTAACTTTAATCTTGGTTTAATTCACTCGTTTTTTTTTCTAACTCTTAACTAGAAAAAGATAAAAAGTAAGTTAAGCCGAGATTAAAGTTAATCTATATTGGTAGATCAAGCAGAAATGGACCTGAATCAATCTCCGAGGCTTATGCATATAAAGATCGAATCCGCCAACTATGAGTCTACCGTTTTTAAGTCCACACTACGCATTGGAGATTGAGGATTAGAATACAGCCAATCAAAACGAAACGGATTAAAATTAAAATTATCTAATGTCTAATTCGGATAATGTAACACGAGCTTTATACAGAACTGCACTTGCATCACTTCAAATTTTTAGAATAAATC